GTAGTCTTTGCAAGATTTGTGTCCAAATACTTCACGTAAAAGACACAGAAGGAGCAACGGAAAGGCAACTGTCTTAAACAAATCGACATCGACGGGATCCTCTCTCATCAAGGGATCTCTTGATCCAGCATCGTGCCGCATTACTACAATCACTCACGCGTCACGCGTGTATTACGCGCGTTATGTAAATACGAGCATCTATCTAATCGCAAAGGTAACGTATATGAGCACGTTAGGTCCATGACGGCACAACATTCGGGAGATCGGAATGCGTCGCCGTGTCGGAGAAAGCTCTGCCAAGAGCTGTCCTCTCGATATCGCGTATTCCAAGGGGACCGAGATCCCACGATCGGCGTGAAAGAGATCAACGTGGAATCGCGTGTCGCGCGCGTGTGAAGTACGGAATAGTCGTCGCCGATTTCGGTGACCGACCGTGCGACGACTTCAAACAGGCATTTACCGCGGACTGCTGCGACCCGGTCAAAGGGGATAGACCCGTCGAGACGGCTGCGCGAACGAACGAATCAACGAACGAACAGCCGGTCGAACGAAATTCCACGATGACAGAACGGAGACTGGCCCCGAGAGAGAAAGAGAGAGAGTCCCCAGCGTCTCTCTCTCTCGCTCCCCCGTGCGTCCCCGTGCCGCGGCGTTCCCGGCGTGTTTCCCCGGCGAGTATCGCAGGATCCACCCGGTGTGCCGTTCCCGAAGTGCCTGACAACGTGTCCGACGCAGCCGAGCTGCCGGAGCCGCGAACGGTCCGCACCAACCTCACGATTCAGGAACTGACCCCTTACCGAAAATCACTGACACATGTGCAACGCATTCACTTTACGCCATGTTTTCCTGGACGGCGCATCATTCGCTCGCAGATCCGGGCGGGGGGGCGAGGGGGGGGATGAAACGGGAGAAGCAAACGATCGATTGGTGCTGCGCTCTACTGTTGCCTTTGGAGGTAACGCAGGTAACGGGATCTCGGCAAAGGCAAGGGGTCGATTGTGTATCTTGAGATAGGTGAAAATTACAAAAGAGAGCGTTTCACTCGAACATTTGTAACAATCTTATATCAGTTAATACCTAGTGAACTTGCTCACCTTTATAATTTTTACCTCGTTTGAAGATACGATCTCTTGGAGTTTTTTTCTCTTTTCACTAGTTTTCCTTAACAATTCTAATATATATAAATGTACGATATAAATATACATGTATTTGGTACATTACAGGTCTATCCAAAGTATTACGTTATTGTTATTCTAGAGATACATTTTATCAACGATGGAATAAGCGCAACTGGTATATTTCTGCAGAGCACGTTTGAATTTAATACTGAAAAATCTTCGTGACCAAATAAAATGTTAAGAATAAATTATAATGACTTTCAAATTAATTTCGAACATTCGGGCAAAATTCGTCTTTATTTTAATCTTCTTTTGATTTTTCTTTTAATTTGCGTTTCTGTGTTAAATTATCACAAATAGTATATATAAATGTAAATAAAAACAAATATGTAATAATATATCCGAGAAAAAAATAAAACCTAATGTATAGTGTGTTTATCCCCAAAAGGATTTATATTAAAGAAGCAAAAAGATACATTGATTTCTCAATACATTTATATAAATTAACAAACAATTAATATTACTGAAATGCTTTGTTTATTTACGTTTAAAGAATTAATGAAACAGTTGAATTTATTATTAACAATAACAATAAAAACCATAGAATGTATTACATTAGAATATGAGGCACGAGTTGCCAAAGCTATGACATGAAATATGGATGTTTCCCATTATAAGTACATATTTTATCTCCATTCGATAATACAAATAAGTCAACAGATTCTATTTTCTTTTTAGCAAACAAGATGTGCATGCGGTTAATAGCGATTGGATTTAATTCAGAAAACTTGAAAAAAGCTTGGAAAAAGATATGAAATGCGATTTAAAAAACTCAATAACGAAATACAAAATAATTTCAATGTTTAACGAGGAATGTCCGTTTCTTATCGGATGTGCCGTATATTTTTGATTTTTTTTTTGTTCCGGCTGGATTTTGAAACGAGATCTCCCAGATGACGCTACGTAAGTGTGATGCAGTCGCTTTCTTTTTTTTTCTCGTTGTGACGTTAATCCATAAGGCCTCCACTCAGCTCCACTCCACCTGCTCCACCATGGCGCGACGTTGACAGGCCACGACGTAAGGGAGATATCAATGGGGATCTGACGCGTTGACGAGTCGAGATTACATCGGGGACGCATTATGGACTTGGCCAAGTCGTTTTTCAATGTTCGCGATCATGATGGTTACGTCGGGAAAGAGGAACATAATGTAAGTACTCTCTCGAATCATTATAATGCTGGGTTTACTTCTGCGAGGTTGCACGTAGATTAACATGTGGAATCGAATTTGGTTAACTCCTTATTATCCAAATTTGTCAGATTTATTATAGCTCTTTCAATATGTAAAACTATATTAAATAAAAACAGAAACGAACGGGTGAATGTAGTGTCTAGAAAAGTGACTTCAACTTTAAATTTCTAATGATAGAGAGAAAGAATGAAAAATGAATTAGAAAAATAATGAATAATATAAATGTATGAAAATCAAAACTAATAAAAAATAAATATAAATAATAAATTTACATATTGACTTGCGAGTTGTAATAAGGAAAATTAAAAAAATTTTTTTCAATGGAAATTCTTGAAAAATATTGATGTAGATCAGTAAAAAAATTCTCCTTGATTATTATACTTGTTTTAGATTTGTCAAATATAATTTTATGTTTTTAGAAAAAAATAGAAACAGCCATTTCTGAAGATGAGGCCGAAGTAGAAGTTGGAAGTTTGTGTGGTGAGGCTTTGTCACCAGCACCAGGTGGTCCATTTTCAGCATTGACTCCATCCATGTGGCCGCAAGATATCTTGGCTAAATTGAATCAACCTGATGATCCAAATTCACAACCTGAATATAGGTAAGACTTATGTATATCAAACAATGTACAAAAGTATTAAACTTTTTTTTTTAAATGTATACAAAAACTGCATTTATAAAAAAAACATAGTAAAATAATTTTGCAAATTAATATTTACAGTTACAAATTAATATTTATAACTGTTCCATCAATCTAGGTTTGATGAATTTGGCTTTCGTGTGGAAGAAGAAGATGGCCCTGAACAGAATTCAAAAAAATTGCTGGGAATACCATTTGTTGAGGATCCTCAACATAGGTTAATTAAAATCGTATTTTCATAGCATACTTAATAAAATATAGCTATTGCAATTGTACTTGTAATGGAGGTATAAAAATAGATAAAATTGAAACATATTGGTTTGCTCTTTTAGATTGCAATGGGTTGCTCTTTTGGAATTTAGTCATAATAAAGAAGTGGCAGAACTCTCCTGGCAAAATATGGATCGAAATCTACCACGTACAGATAAATTACGTGAAATGGTTCGCCGTGGCATACCTCATTCCTTGAGACCTCAAATTTGGATGCGCATGTCAGGTATAAGCAATAAAAACACAAATTTTTAATGACAAGTTATGATGAAAATACGTTTTTAATTACAGGAGCACTTCAGAAAAAGTGTTCATCGGAAATAATGTACAAAGATATAGTGAAAGCCTCGAGTAATGATGCATTAATGACCAATAAGCAAATAGAAAAAGATCTCCTTCGCATTATGCCAGCCAATGCGTGTTTCAGTCATCTCCATAGTACTGGTATACCCCGTTTAAGACGCGTTATGCGTGCCTTAGCTTGGTTATATCCTGATATTGGGTATGGAGAAGTACAAATATAATTAATTTTAACATTATTTTATTAAGTTAAATACATGATATTAATATATAATTTTTATCCTGTTATATCAAGTTACTGTCAAGGTACGGGTACAATGGCGGCGTCATTATTATTACTTTTGGAAGAGGAAGATGCATTCTGGATGATGACAACAATAGTGGAAGATTTGTTGCCAGCTTCGTATTACTCTTCAACATTATTAGGTAATACATTTTATCAACCTTATAGAATATTTAAAGTAACAAAAATTTAATGCTAATTGTAACATAAAATTATTATTATTTCCATAGGTATTCAAGCTGACCAAAAAGTACTTCGCACATTAGTAGCTAATTACCTTCCTGACATAGATCATGTTTTGCTGCAACATGACATAGAATTAAGTCTTATATCTCTGCACTGGTTTCTGACTTTATTTGCATCAGTTGTGCATATGAAAATATTACTACGAATATGGGATATGTTCCTTTTTGATGGATCTATAGTTTTATTCCAAATTACGCTTGGAATGTTGAAGATAAAAGGTATATATTGTTAATATATATTTATTATATTTTGAGCGATCTATATTATATTAGACAATTGCTTATAAAATGTTTTTTTTTTTTGTTTTTTCAGAAACAGACTTGAGACAATTGGAGAACTCTGCACAAATATTTAACGCTCTCTCAGATATACCAGGAGACATTGACGATGTGGACCAATTATTCAACGTATGTTTCTCTTGATTGTTTCTCTTAACAATTTTAAAAACATGTTATAACGTAGTCTGTTTTAACATAAATTCGATATTTTTTAGGTATCTTTAGAAGTTAGTGGATCACTGACAGACGTGTTAGTCGAGACTCATCGACGTCGTCACTTAGCTTATTTAATGGCTGATCAAGGCGGATTGGTAGGAAATCCAGATGCAGTACCAAATTTACCAAAACAACATTTGAATAGGTATAAGTGATGAAAAATATATTATGTGTAATTCCTATTTAATAATAATTCACGATCACAATAGTTTGAATTTTTTTATATTTATATATGTATCTCCTTTATGGTCTTTTTACAGACGTCAAATGAAGCGAAATAAATCAATGTTGCAAACAATTTTATTTGGAAATGATGACGGCGAAGACGATACAAAATCTAAAAATATTCGTCAAACAGGTATATATGCACAGCGTCATGTAGAATTTTTAATAAAATTTGTCTATAATTTAATATATGAACTTTTAGAAATTCTAGTTGATCTAAGGGAAGCCGTTTTACAAGTTGCAAGACATTTCATAAATGTCGATCCAAAATTAAATAATGTTGTTCTCATAGCAGATTATACAATGGAAAGTCATGCAAAAGACCATGACAATTATGTTAATGTGTCACGGACACGGAAAAGAAGAGCAAAAGCTTTACTAGGTAATTAGATATAAATATCTTTTTTATTGCATACTATAACGATATGATTTTAATAATAATAATAAAAATAGATTGAAAACAATAAAAATAAAGATTCATATAATTTAAAAAATCAAATGAAGATGAAAGAATCAATGTGAAAAATGCTCTATACAAATATATTAATTTTGTTACAGATTTTGAGAGACACGATGACGATGAACTTGGCTTCAGAAAGAATGATATAATTACAATCATTAGTCAAAAAGATGAACATTGTTGGGTGGGAGAACTTAATGGGTTAAGAGGTAATATAAGTAACGAAAGAAATCTTACAATATTATGAGTATTATAATGAAATGAATGAATTTGTGATAGGCATGTTAATTTTTTTATAACAGTTTAATTATATATTTTAATTATTTATATTTGTTTATTTTTTAATATTTTTTAAATGTATGTTTTATATTTTACGTTATCTTCTTTGCGATTTTTTGTAATAAGTATATGCTGATAATTATACAGATCTTTAAAGTGAATTATCTTATTTTCTTATTTTAAGTGATATTTTTTTCAAAATATATTTTAGTCTAACAATATATTTCTAGGATGGTTTCCTGCGAAGTTTGTAGAATTGCTGGATGAACGAAGCAAACAATATACATGCGCTGGAGACGATGCAGTTAGCGAAGCTGTTACAGATTTAGTAAGGGGTACATTGTGTCCCACTGTGAAAGCAGTCTTAGAACATGGAATGAAAAGACCATCATTTTTGGGTGGACCATGTCATCCGTGGTTATTTATAGAAGAAGCTTCTAACAGAGAAGTGGAAAAAGACTTCAATTCTGTTTATAGTCGATTGGTACTGTGCAAAACGTACAGGTTGGATGAAGATGGCAAAGTTCTCACGCCAGAAGAGGTATTACAAATTATATTCATTTTTCTTGTGTATACATTTGATTAAAGAGCCTAGAAAAAAGCTACCAATCACGTACTTCTTTTTATATAGTTAACTATAGTTGCGTTTCGAATTACGTACAAAGCGCATGATGCATCATTTGTCCTTATTGTTCACCGAAGACTGAAAAAGGAAAATGGAATATCTCTGCGCTTTATACGTAATTCGGAACGCACCTTATAACTTCATTCCGTTGCGCATATAATGCGTATGAAGGTATTTTATCTTTGTTTAACACTCTGCGAATAACGAGGATAGAATGATACCTCATGCGTGCAACAGAACTTATATAATTTTTGTGATTTTTGCTCAGAATCACATGATCAATTGACGCCACATTAACGTCTCTTTCTTAGGCTTTTTACATTCAGTAATAAAGAAAATGTTTCAGTTATTGTATCGTTGTGTCCAATCTGTAAATTTAACACACGACAATGCACACGCTCAGATGGATGTGAAATTACGTTCTCTCATTTGTCTCGGTTTAAACGAACAAGTGCTTCATTTATGGCTGGAAGTCTTATGTTCCTGTGTAGAAGTAGTGCAAAAGTGGTAAGTATGCACAAATTATCTGTGTGTGCTATTCAATAATATCTATTTTCTGTTACGATATATATAATAGTATATATAATGTTTAGGTATCAACCGTGGAGCTTCATAAATAGTCCAGGTTGGGTGCAAATAAAATGTGAGTTAAGAATATTAAGTCAATTTGCATTTAACTTGAATCCCGATTGGGAACTACCGCCCAAAAAAGAACAATCACAGCCTTTAAAAGATGGAGTTCGCGATATGCTAGTCAAACATCATTTATTTAGTTGGGATCTTTAGTAGATAAGATAGTTAATAAGATTATGCCAATCTTCTACTTTTCGTCCAAAAACTTAGGATTTAATTTTCCATTTCTCTCTAGTCTCTAATTTAATTATAATAAAAAAGTCAGGGTATATCGAAATATATATTTTGATTTAAAAAATTTTTTATAAATAACAGCAATCTTAATAATTGCAAAGATTTTTAGCATCGAAAATTTTTAGATTGAAATTTAATGCACACTAATGACTAAGAAATGTAATGTACAAATGAATATCTCTTTATCATTATATAACATAATTTATAAACGTTATAAAAGAAAGTTTATATTTATTTATATGCACAGACACTTAGTAAACAATAGTAGAAGAGACCCTACTTATATATTAAATTTTTTTTCTTCTCTTTAGATAAGCAAGCAAATAATATTTTAAGAAGCTTTTGAAAGTCCTTATCAAAATAATTCTGTATCTGTACCAAAATAATTGACAGAGAAAAACAATATATCTATGAAATAAAAATATTGGAATAGAAAGTATTAGATTACCAAAGTTGTGTATTGTGTCTAATTATATAAATGTTACTACGTAATTATATATTCCTTTATGAAATATTAGTTTTATATTTTTTCGTCATAAGAAAAAATATCGATATAGTCAACAAACAATATAATACATATATATAAATATATATTATAATATATGATCTCTGTAGATATCTATGTATGATAGAGAATATATATTGTCATATCTTCAAGCAAATAGATATGTTATGTAGTAATGTTGTAATTTAAAGCCATAATCTAAAACGTCCTATTCGAAAAAAATTTTACTCAAAATATAGTACATGTAACATATACTTCAAATATTATATTATCGAGTAAAATTTTCCTCGGAGACGTTTTGGAATGTAGCCTAAAAGATTTATTTTTAAGCAGTGCCTTCTTGATATTCAAATATAATTGAAATATTTTATATATATTTAAAAGTTTTCAGTATTTACAAAATGTGTAAATTATCTATTTTCTTCCAAAGTGAAATATTGAACATGTAATTTATTTTATACAACGCAATTATGTAATAATTATATAACGTAGGATTTTTTATAGCTATATTCTTGATATACTTTTAATTAATCAAGTTTATGTTTTTTAGTACAGCACGTATCTGTAAAATTTTTATCAATAATTTTTAGGAACGGTTTTTCCGCTTTAATTTCAGTAGTTAAAGGTGGAGTTTGTAAAAATTCGTCTTTATCAAATGTTAAAGGAGCACATGCAGCCTTGTACTTTTCAATAGTCAATGCGTCAATGTGTAAATCATGTACGTCCAAGATATCTTCTTCATACGTTGGTTTGTCAAAGGAATCAATCTCACACTTGCACGACCGTTTTTTTATATAAATAAAATGTAAATCCATAACATTAGTGCCAGTTTTTCCCGTTTTAACTAAGTCCGCCCCCTTCTTAAAGCGCGAGTAAAAATTATACGTATCGTTTTCTTGTAAGACATTTTCAGGTAACATGCGTTCTACTTCCATTGTCTTTAATACTAAATGATCGATATGTTCATTAATATCTTCTCGAGAAGACTTTTCTATTGTGCTACTGAAATCTCGTCCTTTTTGTTCAATATTAGATTCTGCTGCAAATCTATTCGTTCGTTGCCGTCTGTACGAATCCTGCGTTTTTCTGTCTGTCATTATTTTCGCCTGTACTTTTTCTTGCTCTTCAGTCTTCATAGATTTAATTTTTGTGTAAAAATCGTGCATTACGGGCGCAATGGCAGGATAACCAAATGCACCTGCTGCATCGGTAGGACCATCTTGACCATCAGTACCTGCACTGAGCATCATCACATCGTACTCGATAAGTCGCGGATAAGTTTTGATTTTTGCTAGCCAATCTAGTGAAAAACGTAAAGCTAATTCCTGATTTCTACCGCCTTTTCCTTGACCTGTTACCACAACCGTAGGTTCTCCACCTCCGATTAAAACTATACCATTGAGATTGCCAATAAGATGATGAAAGATTTCGTCGATTTTATCAATAGATAATGAAAGTATTGGCATAGTCCGTACTTTGTCGTAAAATTCTTTTCTCTCCAGCTCATTTAGCAAAACGAGACATATCAAACTTGTTAAATGAACATATGCTGAACTAACGTCTTGTACATTTCCTGTGACATTATTCTTTAAGATTATTGGAGTTAATTTTTTGCGCAAAGCTTCAAGTTTTGCAGCTTCCAGAGCCACTGTATTGTTTCCTAGAATTATATTCGTCACGTGTTTGAACTGTTTAGTGGCAGTTTTAGCTGTAACTGGATTTAATAACGGTTTGTCATCAAACGACTCCTTGGACGTTATGACAGTCTTTAAATTGCCCTCAAGTGACTGAAATAAGTTATATCTTTTTAATATAGCAACAACAGGCTCCGGTGTTCTCGGATTATAAACAGTAGGGCCACTGGCGATCAAGTCTACGGGATCACCGACAATATCGGATAGTATCAGCGTAATAACGGATGCGGGGTAGGCCATACGTGCTAGACCACCGCCTTTTACCAGAGACAGCTTTTGTCTCACGGTGTTAAGCTCGGTGATATCAGCACCTGCATTTTGGAGCTTTTTACAAAGTTCCAACTTGTCTTCTTGAGCCAGAACGGGCCTCGGCATGTACAGCAATGCGGAACCTCCACCTGATACTAATACTATCAGAGTATCCATCTTGGTTAGCTTTTCGACCAGGTCTACAATATCATGCGTGGTGTCCAACGATCTGTCATCAGGTTGATTGTTGATACCACCTTCGCGATAGTCTATCCTACTATTGTGCAACTTAGGGAAGCTAGATTTATCTTCGAAGGTCCACATAGCGTCCCTCGACATACTCGGCACGCTGACAATGCCCTTCTTCAAAGTATCGCCGAGCACTCGCTCGAGTTCTACGGCCATTCCCATAACCGCCTTACCGAATCCGACGAGATAAACATCCCCTTTAAGCGGGAAGCTCCTCTCGTCGACGTACAAAGCGTTACCTTGGAGTTTCACCCTCCTCCTTACAATTTCGTTCGGCGACACCGCTTTCACGGCGGAACGGAAGATATCTCTTAAATCGGCTCTCGACTCCGACAGGAATTTCGTGTCCGTTGCCATATCGCGATTTGAATTTGTACACTTGGAAATTTTTGAGAGGTTAGGACGAAAAGTAACCGTACGACTGAAAAATGAAAATAAACATAAACGAAACGTTTCCCCGAGACGCATTTGGTCGAGACGTTTCGACGACGAGAATCAAGACACTTGCCTGTGCAAAATGAACTTATGGAATATTATTCTCTGTCGCATTATAATCGATTATTAAATGCATCGACTCGACTGCAGCGTGAGACTTCTTGCGAGATAACACAATGCGGTATCTTTTTTATCAATAGTTTTCACGCCACGTTCCACGTCACGCATTGCCGAAATATTTAAATTAAACAATCTCGACTTTTCAAGTTTCGCGAAATACGCAATTCTATAACTCTACGTTACGCAATTATTTAATTGTTCGGAGTCCACTTCGAGAACGGCACAGTTGCGGTCTGGATAATCGAACATTTGTATGAAAGTACATAATCTTTGCAGTGCCGAACATAAAAATTCCACTTGCATCTCTCTATAAATACAGTCGTTAGTTTGTTAATTTTACTTTCACGGCTGATTCTTGCCGGAGAAAGAAGTACTGTCGACCTACAATTCGTGACTGACAATCCTATGTTAGAATCGAACGGCATGCTCTCTCTTCCCTCAGCAACAGTCGTAACGACGACAAATAAGGCGAGAAACTCGAATGTATCAGTTAGAATAAAAAAATTGTAATACATATCGTGTGTTTTCCACAAACGAAGTAAACACACTTGACAATTTATCGATAATTGAAAGATTAAATTTAACTCGATATGAATATATAGAAAAATATATATATATTAATGCTGTTTGTCTAAATTACTTAAAGCAAAAATATAAAATTATTACAAAGATTATATGTTTAAGAATTTTATTGTGATATAAATGAAAACATCTCAGTCGACACGAACTAAAAGTATATCTACGTTATAATTTAATGTTATTAACTATTATGTAACACCTACATATTAGATTAATATTGTTGAATGTGAGTTATAATATAAATATTTTTAGTTGATGTCAAGCAGGATTACATTTTATAATACATATAATTTAAATTTTAATTATAATGTATTTTATAATTTATTTATACTGCGGCATAAACAAAAAGGAATCAAAAACTAAATAAAAATAAATGAAAATTGTTTCATGGATATCATATTTCGATTTTTTAGACTTAAAATAATTTTGCATCCTGAAAATTAGAGAATTCATTTTTAATAGACAGAGGAGAGGCATCTTTCCATCAAATAAGTAAACTTTTGTATTAAGTAATCATATTTGGGCATCAAATTCATATAGAAATTGAATCAGTTTAGAACATATATATAAATATTTTGTATGTTCTGTGTGCAGAATAAAATTTTACAGGAGCGAAATCCAGAGAACAGTCAACGTTCGAATTTTTATTGGCCCTGAAAAGGGCCGTTTTTGTCGTCAATTCCAATTTACTTGGAACTAGTGTACTTGGTTACTGCTTTCGTGCCTTCGCTGACTGCGTGCTTCGCCAATTCACCGGGCAACAGAAGTCTCACAGCCGTCTGGATCTCCCGAGAGGTGATCGTCGAGCGCTTGTTGTAATGCGCTAGTCTCGACGCTTCCGCGGCGATTCTCTCGAATACATCGTTGACAAAGCTGTTCATGATGCTCATAGCTTTGCTGGAGATTCCGGTGTCCGGATGTACTTGCTTCAATACTTTGTAGATGTAAATGGCGTAGCTCTCCTTCCTCTTGCGCTTCTTCTTCTTGTCAGTCTTGCTAATATTCTTTTGAGCCTTACCGGCCTTCTTTACGGCTTTGCCACTCGCTTTAGGAGGCATTTTGTCGTACAATCGGAAAGCGGATAGAACCACGATACAACGTTCCCAACGTTCACGAGTAAAATGAGTTGGAGCGCAAACTAAGCTATCGTATATATACTATTCCGCGTCACCTACAGCGCACCAATCAGAAGGTCGGAGAGCAACTGTGCACGCCGATTGGTGGGGAGTGCGCTATCCTCGCGGGGTATAAAAGGGAGCGCTCGGCCGGCGAGACGTCACAAATCTCTCGCTTCTCTCGAAGAAAGTATATCCGTACCGTATTCGTTAATCGAGCAACATGTCTGGTCGTGGAAAGGGTGGCAAAGTCAAGGGAAAGGCAAAGTCTCGTTCCAATAGGGCGGGATTGCAGTTCCCTGTTGGTCGTATCCATCGTTTGCTGAGGAAAGGAAACTACGCCGAACGCGTCGGCGCTGGTGCACCGGTCTACCTGGCTGCAGTAATGGAGTATCTGGCCGCTGAAGTTTTGGAGTTGGCTGGCAACGCCGCTCGTGATAACAAGAAGACTAGGATCATCCCTCGTCACCTGCAACTCGCCATCCGCAATGACGAGGAGTTGAACAAGCTGTTGTCCGGTGTGACCATTGCCCAAGGCGGTGTTTTACCGAACATCCAGGCCGTATTGCTACCCAAGAAAACCGAGAAGAAGGCATAATCGTAATCTGGCATCTGATACAAATGGCCCTTTTCAGGGCCACAAAATTTTTTTAACGAAGGCATACTCTGTTCAGCATTTTGTAATACCTCACTATCCCTAATGCTTATACCATTTTCCTATCCACATTTTTAACAGTAGATTATTAAATTGAATTGATGAATCACGTCGCGCAATTTCTAGAGATAAAATATATTTATGAATTTACATAATTATTAAACATCAAGATCGATTTTCAAAAATAAGATTCTTTGATTTATTTATCTACTATTACTTACATAATTTATTTAGTTTTTCACAGTAATTTAAGATACTAGTTAATATTATTGAATTGCTTGTTAATTTAAATTTGTAACTACTTTAGTTGCAGTTTAGGATTCAGTTTCAAAACCAACAAATAATCGATGCGTTGTTTGTATAATTTGCGTGAATTAGAAACTATAAAATTTATTTTTAAATATTGAACACCCAGATCTGTTTTAATCGAAAGCTTTTACTTCATTTATTTATTTGTAATAATAGATCAATAGTCTTTCGTGTGAAACTAATATTGCGACTTTATTATCATATATTTTGATGTCTTATACAACTTCGTGCTATAATTCAAACATTTAAAATCAAATTGATTACATTTTATTGCTTAACTCTTGCGAATATCTTGTTTACCTTAGAAATTCAAACGTTTAATCGGTTTTAATGTCTTATTTTAGAGATATTAAAATAAATATTTCTAATGTTTTTAATTTCTGAGTTGCTCATGAATATCATTAGTTATCTTTTCTAGTTATTTCATGATTTCTGTCGCTTTGTAAATTTTGCTAAATATATAAAATAACAAATATTAATAAAAACAATAAATTAGATGTATATATATAATGGATATTATTTTTTTTTTTAATTTCCAATATTGTTCTTATCTTATTTGCTGTCTTTTTGTATTTATCTATATAAATAAAAACAGCAAATAAACATCTGGAAATATTTTAACATCGGGCAAGACACATGTGAAATCATCTCGATTCTCAATGTAACGTATCACGAAATGGCGTTGGAAAAGAAGGAATGTCCTGCCTTTGTTCGAACATCAAATGTGGTCAGACAAAGAAACATGGTTACTTTGTGCTATTCACAATTTTTACATCACAAATCAAATTCTAATATTTATTTAGATTTACGTTTTATATAATCTTTGAAGCATATAATTATTCTCTCTATTAGTATTAGAAAAAATAATTGAAAATATATATAAAGCTTCACGAAATACTATTCCTTTAATTTATATCTCGAACTTTATCATGAAATTATATATAATTCATTTCAATATAATTATATCTGAAACATGAAATTTTGTAGCACATATTACGTTAAATTATGTTGAAGTACATAAATTCAATTGTTTAATTGAAAGGTATGTTTTGCGTTATTACAAATTATTTAAAACTGTACCATTTAACAAACCAATGTAATTTTTCATACATTTTTACGTGTTACATTAAGACGAATGTTACTGAATTGTCAGGCCCATTTTGTTGTTCAATAAATTATTTTGACAAAGTCACAAAGTTTAACTTGAGTATCCTGTAGTTTTAGTTCAACGTCAAAAACGTGAGACAGTTGTTTCTACAGCGCACACCAATGAGGCCGAGGTCGACCCTATCGCGGTAGTGCTGAGCGATGTGATTGGTTGTTTCATGGCTACTCCGTTAGGTATATAAAGAACGCAGACGCCGAGAAAATCAATCGACGTTCAGACTTTGTTCAGTCCAGATCTACGCAGAGTTTCGTTACAACTAATCTCGACATGCCACCGAAAGCCAGTGGTAAAGCGGTGAAGAAGGCGGGCAAGGCTCAGAAGAACATTAGCAAAACCGACAAGAAGAAGAAGCGTAAGAGGAAGGAGAGCTATGCTATCTACATTTACAAGGTGTTGAAACAAGTGCATCCCGATACCGGAATTTCTAGCAAAGCCATGAGCATCATGAACAGTTTCGTTAACGATGTGTTCGAGAGAATTGCCGCCGAGGCGTCAAGATTGGCGCACTACAACAAAAGATCGACGATCACGTCTCGTGAGATACAAACTGCAGTGAGGCTTCTTTTACCTGGAGAATTGGCTAAGCACGCAGTCAGCGAGGGAACTAAAGCAGTGACCAAGTATACTAGCTCCAAGTGAAGCAATTTAATACACATTGCATACGCATATCGGCCCTTTTCAGGGCCAACAAATCCTCAAAACGTGGAAATCTCTTGTTTTACTCTCTAATAATCTATATCCATATCCCCATCTTTAATAATAAGACAAAGCATTAAAGTATAAATTATAGCAACTTTTATTTTTTGAACATTTCATATTTTTTATCGAAATTACTAAGTTCAAATACTTTAAAATAGTCTGGCGAATTCCGTCGCTTACATAACTTATATTACACTGATTATTAACACATGTAAGTAATTTAATCGATTAAGTACTAAATAATATTGTAACGTTTTATTTAACAGAACATTCCTGTATTATATCTTATTTCATTGTCGCAGTTTAATATATTATGTTTAATGTATTTTTAGATGTTATTTTAAAGCATTTTAATGTATATTAATTCGGTAATGTGTGCCACTGAATTTATATATAAATTCTATTATTATCAATATTATTCTATTGTTAATTTTTGACATTATTTCTTAAATAATTAATAAGCAAGATAAGCAATAAGAATTCAGTTGCGGACAGTTCGAGATTATTCCAATATCTTAAATTCATACTGTAATGACTTTTAACAGAGCTAATTTATTATGTAAATATTTAGAAATGATCTTTCGAACAGATCAAAATTTAATTGCAGTCGTATCAGGATGTATATTTTTTTTCTGTCAATTTTTAAATCACTTTTTAAAAACAAATAATAATAAATAACGGGCAAAGTAAGAGTCAATAACTTTTCTTTGACATTAACAAAAATTATATAATTATAATTAACAGAGGTAAAAATTACGTAACGCCAAAAATTAGAATCAAAATTAGGAAAATGAATACAAGTTACAAGTTTCGGCTACCGGATTGAGCCCTCTTCAGACATTAACACAACGAAAAAATCGCAAAATAAAATCAATTATCACAAAAGATCGCATATTCACAGTTCGGGTGAGTCTTGATCTCGAGTTCAATATAATTTCCGTACGGTTGAAACGTCAAATGTATTAAAAATATCTTGGTAAAGTTCTAGTTGATACAAAAGATAAAATTAAAAAACAACAAAAAAAAACCGTACCAAAAAATCTACGCAAGAATAAAATAAAATAAAATACCGAAAATCTAATAAAAATTTATTCACTTTTTAAAATCAAGATTTATTGAAATTTCATGTTTATTCAAAAGTCCGGTTTTATAATAAGTGATCGAATACTAGATAAAAAGAGATTCATATCTCTAAATAAAAAATCATATTAATCATTTGTTGTAAAAGTATATTTACGAAACCTTAATTGCTACATAATCCTTGCTCTCGTTTATTCAACAATTATTACTTTATCATTTTAGAATATAAAACGAGGAAAGAATATAATATATAATATACATAAAAACACAAGATAGTTTTAAAATTTTCTTTGCAAATTTGTTCTCTTTTTATAAGATAATAAAATTCGATGAAAAAATTATGCTAAATGTTTAGATGTTACAGATAGTTTAAATACGTGCAATACGTGCAGAAATGAAAACCGTAAAATGTTGAAACGACTGGAGTGATATTAAAAATATTTTTTTTTTATTATTTGCATTATAGCACTATGTTTAAAAGAAAATATTCCATTTAAAATGTTAATAAATATTTGAAATATTAATAAATCAGTTTTGTTGAACGTGAGAAAAATAATACAGAGAAACTATTTTTCAAATAGTTTTTAAAAAGTATCTAAATATTGTTATAACTTCAAAAATATTCAAACATTTTATTTAAAATAGATTATATAATAATTGGTACATGTTTTATAAATATTTATACATTTGTTTATTAGAATTTATTACAAATAGCTGCGTGTAATTACATTACTTTGTTAAAGTATAGACTTGTGTATACGAACAAAAGGATGGATAAACAAATGCGATAGATTGAATTGTAGTCTCCTTTTTTGATTATAAAGTGCTGAAGTAAATAGTCTATCTTATAACTGTTTTCCATTATTCTCGAGATATCTATTTCATATACATGGAGGTCATTTCGTAGAAATGTTCCTTCAATATAGAAATTGCAAACGAATCGATTCACTGCTTATAAAAATATCCAAAAATATATTCGAAAGTAAAATGCAATGAAAAGACTTGTTTTCTTTTTATTTAGCTTAATGTTTGACGAATATGAAAGATAAATGTAACATACTATAAAATTCGAAAATAAAGCATACGAATATAAAGTTAGCCTTCCTGAACATTAATACTTATCTTAATTCTAAATCTTAAGTCTGAAAAATTGCTGCAACAAGAAATACAACGTTTGAAATTTTTGGTGGCCCTGAAAAGGGCCGATTGTATACAAGTAAAAACTGTTTACGTTTAACCGCCGAAGCCGTACAAGGTTCTTCCTTGACGTTTCAGGGCGTAGACGACGTCCATGGCAGTCACAGTCTTTCTTTTTGCATGCTCGGTGTAGGTAACCGCGTCACGAATAACGTTTTCTAAGAACACCTTCAGTACACCACGTGTTTCTTCATAAATCAATCCGGAAATACGCTTGACTCCGCCACGACGTGCCAGACGGCGGATGGCTGGTTTGGTAATCCCCTGGATGTTATCACGGAGTACTTTACGATGTCTCTTTGCTCCTCCTTTTCCCAATCCTTTTCCTCCCTTACCGCGGCCAGTCATGATGATCTGCTTGTAATCGTCGTACGTACACTCAAGAAAGTGCCAAACGATTTTGGTGGCTCATCTCAGAAACCAGCCGATTTTATTCCCTGGCTGCTCCAACGCGCCCCACTCTGACGTCATCCACCAATCAGGAGCGTTCTCTGTCCACCTTGGTGGCTCACCCCACTCCTGAAGTAGTGACCAATCAAACGCGGCGCACTTTTCCGGTACTGTATATAACAGAGGAGCACTTCGGACGAGCTCACAATCTGATTTGACATAGAGTTCCACTCTATTGGAATTGACGCACTCGGAATTTCACGGTTACGATGGCGCGTACCAAGCAGACCGCTCGCAAATCGACAGGAGGAAAGGCACCTCGTAAACAGCTGGCCACGAAAGCTGCAAGGAAAAGTGCTCCAGCTACCGGTGGCGTGAAGAAACCCCATCGTTACAGGCCTGGCACTGTAGCCCTTCGTGAAATTCGTCGTTATCAGAAAAGTACGGAGTTATTAATCCGTAAATTGCCATTCCAACGACTTGTTCGTGAGATTGCTCAGGACTTCAAGACGGATCTTCGCTTCCAGAGTTCTGCTGTAATGGCTCTTCAAGAAGCTAGCGAGGCATATCTTGTCGGTCTTTTCGAAGATACGAACTTGTGTGCTATTCATGCTAAGCGAGTTACCATCATGCCTAAAGATATTCAACTGGCACGTCGTATCCGTGGCGAGCGAGCTTAATTAAGCACGATAAATTGTAAAAAAATATTTAATCGGCCCTTTTCAGGGCCAACAATTTTTCAAACGAATATTTCTTGTTTGCATATGTCTTATTTTTATTTATGATTTAAACAGAATTCTGAATATTTCTTTTTCAATATATTAAAGAAATTAGTATTTAAAGTAATTTCTCTTTCTCCATGTTTAACATACTTCGAAATTTTCGAATATTTCAATTCCATTTAATATTAGGTTAAGTAAAAAGTCATCGCGTTTTTTTAAAAGACATCTATCAGTAAAAACCGCAATTACTTTCTTACCAACAATATAAATATATCTTGATAGAGTAAAGTTTCAGCTTTAAAAATCTCTTTTTTAAATTATACGATACGACAATTTTTAATGGAGTTATGAGCAATTAAAGTCAAAATAATTCTTTTATTTAATCCGCGATAACTCAGTAATCAAAAGTCGTAGGAATATTAAAAAAAAACGATTTTGTAGGGAAAGTATCAAGCTTTCACGATAGGTAATCGAAAATTTTCTCAAATTCGTTTTGGACACGTTACAAATCCACAAAGTGAGAAGAAAATTTTTCGTCTTTTTCAGCTCGTAGTTTTTGGTATGTAAAAATTATCAAACTCATATAAACTTAAAAAATGTGATAAGCTTTTAAAAGTAGAGATTTCAAGCTTTAAAACCCTTTTTTTTAATTTGAATTTCATTCATTATTGACGAAGATATTGTATATACAACTTTGAGCTAAAAAATGCGCGATGACTTTTTACTTAACCTAATATTACAACGAATACGAACATGATAATAAAAATAAAATTTTATTTACATATAAAATTATCCTAATTTCAAGCAATATTTATATACAATTCAATTATGGCTTACAATTTATTATAATACCAATAATTCAATTATTAATAAACTCAAAAATATTTTTAGAACAATTTATAAACCCGAAAAAATGCATATAATGACAAATATATAAATTTGATGTGTCTGAAATTGAAAATGCTTCATATTTTTTCGTGGAGTATATACATATAATATTTCATAAACATTTAATTTCTTTATGTTTCGGAACCTTTTTATCTTATGTTCTTTGTATTGGTTTACGTTATATCTATCGATATTTATCGTGAATATGAAATTTACCTAAAAGTTTTCCAAATATTGATTTGCCTATTATAATTTATAAACATTGATGAGATTTAAATAAAATTATAAAAAATACTGAATACAGAAACAACTTGCATGAAACAACTTAGAAGATTACTTAATTCTATACAATAAGAAAAATGAAAACTGTAACACTATAAATAAAACTATAAATAAAACTATAGTAAAACTATAGTAAAAAGACATTAAAAGATTGTATTAACATTAAAATATACATTTAAACTAAATTTAGCGTATTAATTAAAGTTTATTTTGAATGTATTTCTTAATACAATTTCAGAAGCTTCTAATTATCATCACGCAATTATTACAATTATCGATATAATAAAACATGTTTATAAATTTTAATTTTAATTTTTCGTTAACTCATTGAATATGATCAATCCTAGTATACTATATTATATAAACTTAATACTATTTTCATAATTTCTCTGTGTCGGTTATTATAATAAAGAGTTGTTTAAGTCGAGTTTGATATAAGTGATTTTATCAGTATTATTTGTATTAAAAAATTAAACTAAAAATATTGAAAATATTTTAAGACTATGTAAATTTGTAGAGCCTTGAGTTCTTAAAATAGTGATATTTAATAAATTATTAATAAGCGTTCTACATATTTTCATCATAATCGAGTCTTTTGAGATCATTACATATAAAATTCAAATAAAATTTTACATTATTTTACTATCATGTACATCCTATATTGACGTGACATATCTGCAAGCATTAAATTATCAAAGAATTAATATCTAATAAGCCGTTTTATCATTATTATTATTATGCAATTTAATTGATTCAATGAGTTCTTTATCTTTTTTTAATTATAAAAATTAAAAAAGACATATGTATCTTTAAATTGAGATTAAAGTAATCTACATTGGTAGAAACGAGCATCAATCACATAAATTATTATC